GCCAGTTCTCTAAGACATGCTTGATCATAATTTCATGCAGAAAACATATCCAGCTTATTCAGTTATCAAACTTTGTGTGTGCTATTATCTGCCTTTTATGCACTGTAGAAGAATTTTATTTTTTTTAATCACCAATCAGTCAATGAGTTACTGAGGCTTCTTAAATATAGATTTTCAGTCCTTCTTGGTGCCACCATATGACTATAGCACTGTGATCTAATTCTTCAAGATAAAAAAGATTTAGAGCATGTCAAACTTAATTACTAAGCTAGCTGCAGAGACTTTTCCTTTAACAGAACACAAATATTTTCCTTACCCTTTCTCTCCTTCACAGTGAGAAACTTCATTCCATGTCAGATATTGGTGCAGCAACCTGGTGCTAGGCCACTAGAGAAGCTTGGGTACTTTTTCTCTACAAAGTGCTGTATATGAGGTTTACTGATGCATAAAGCCTAAAGTTTATTTGGAAAAAACCATGCAACATGCGGATAAACATTCAGTAATCTTTTCCACACGCACGTCTAAGAGCATGTATTTGTCCTATTTAGCTTTTCCAAGATCATGAAATAGTCTTGGCAGAAGCAGAATGCTAACGTTGCTATTCATGCTGTATAGAAAGAACTGCCTGATGCAGCATGCTAAATTTTCCATTAATTTGCTGTTTAATGATGGCAGCTCTCAAAATAAGAAGGATAGTTGGCAGGTTAACCATCTATTTGGGCAACCCTATTAAATACTTTAATTTGCAAGAACCCAAGTGTTTGATCAACTATTGTAGAATTGCACTTCTGAAGATCTGAAACCTGAGAGTTGAAGCAGATTCTATTGTGTCCCATGTGTTGGGTTCTTTTAAATTTACTAATTTGGCATTGGATTCCAAACTATCATGCTTGTGGCACTAAAGAAATAATTGTCCAGGATATGTGATGCAAAATAAATCTAGGGAGTATGATTCTAATGTCCAAAGAAAAAGTGAACAGTTCATATTTTTATATTCAGGTATGCTGATTTCAGTAACCATTTAATAGTACTCTAGGTCACAACAAGCAGTAAGCTATCCTAGATCCATCTTATACATTTTAAAAATTATGAATTAGTTTTAGTGTTAGTAAACCAACATTTTCTAAAAAGTATAACATGTTTTGGCACGCAGTGCCAAATTCAGTCACAAATGATACTGCAGTGCAATGCTACTTGAAACTAAGCCAGAAACTTCAGGAACAGGCCTAAAATAAGTCTCAAGGGGAAAGAACACCTATGTGAATCAAACAGCATTAATAAAAAGCATGGCTTGTTTCAATTCATCAGATGCATTAATATCAGGATTCAATTGATCAATAAACTTTGCCTCCTGAATCTTTTTTCCTTTGGAAGCTCAGTTCCACTGACAGAACAGAGATCTTACTGTAGACTACTGGTCTGCCAGCATTTTTATCTCTCCTATGAAGGAACTATCATCTACCATTACACATTGAGTAGCAGATGGGTGTACCTGTATCTTTTCAGGAGTGGTCTTCCAGTTTCACTGATAGGAAAGGAATCATATTCCAGAATGTAATTTTTAAAGAATCCCCTTTACCTTCAATACAGATTCAGACGGAACATTCCTCTGTCCAGCATTTACTAATGTACAACTGCTATGTACGTTGGATTTTCTTCTGATATTATGGGGACAGTACAAACAATATTAGGCTTGAGATTGCAGTGATGAACAATCCTTTGGACTTCGCAAGCAAATCTATCTGTACTAAGTGAAATTTTCAAAATAGATAGGAGTGCAAGATATATCAAAGGACTTACAGCTGGAACTGATAACCTAGAATGATTGATTGCTGCCAACTTTACTGCCTTTCATTTTTATTCTTCAAAGTGGTTGCAAACATTCCAACAGTTTTCTGAATATTCTTTACAATCCACCTTTTCACTAGTACAATGAGTGCATATTTACCATTTCTTAGTATGTTTCCAGTGGCCTGTAGCAGATCATTAATTCCACGTCCAACAAGGGAAGTCAACCACCTCCATTAACTTTATACTGTCTGTCTTTTCATTGTACCAAACTATTTATCAGGTTCTATCATGGTATGTGCTACAATCATTTGTATTTACTGAGGAATACAAGATGATGTTATGGTCAGTGCAAAAGAGTAAGCTATTTAAACCAGTCCTGAAAGGAGAAGTTGTGAAGCCTGAGCGTTTTTTCATGTGCTCCATTTCCAATTGGGCTATTTTGTATGCCTGAATGCTACTGCGCTGGGGCTAACTCCAGAATAAACACGCACAGAATTGAACTATGTCTTGTATGCTTGGTGGGAAATGTAAAAATGGGTACAAATTGCATCTGGACATACCCATTTTACTATGGGTCACCTAACGGCTTGGGCTGTACCCCTGTTCTCCAAGTCCTGCTCACTACTAGGATGGGGTTCCTGAGATCTCTTCCAAATAGGAATTTGCCAAACCCAAAAATATTCTACACCCCTGAAGTATAGGGTTTTTTTTCCTATTTTGTCTGGATTGGGAAAGTATGGTTAATGGCTTCAGAGCAAGCCAGAATATGAAAGTCATGATCTGAAGTTGACTTAACAAACTGGCTTGCTCTGAAGCCATTAACCATAATACCGCAATTCAGATGCAATGGTATACTGCAGTTAACCAGTGCGTTCCTGGTGTGTTTGTTTCCACTGTGAAGGAAGAAGCAAAGAGGCTGAGTATATGTCCACAAGACTCATTTATATCTTGTCTTACGGCAGACCGACGTACAAGCTATCCTAGCGTGCCCTACAGATAAAAGGATTTGTTAGGGAAAGCAACAGTTCAACCACTTCAGTGCATTTATCTATTTATTTACAGTTTCAGGGCATTTCTGTACTGTTTTCTCTACTGTACGATTAGCACAGCACTCTCAGAATGGTGTACATTTCTCCTGTTTAAATTGGAATTATTTATGCATTTTCTTTTGTTGACAGTGCAGTGTGATGGTTAGAGTACTGGACTGGGGACCTGGGAGATGTCAAGAGTTAGGGTTCTAGACCCCACTCAGCCATGAAGCTCAGTTCAGTCTAACCTACCTCATAGGATTGTTATTATAAGGATAAAATGGAGTGGAGGAGGAGTATGTAAGCCAACTTGGGTTCCTCACAAGAGGAAAAAAAGTGCCGTATAAATGGGCCCGCAGCAACCTAACTGGACTAGTTGCCAGGCTGCTGCTACTGGGGGCTGAGGACAATTCAGCCCAAACCCAATTAAGTCAACTTTAGAATAATGCATGCAACCTTTTTGGGGAAGGTTAATGGATTCAGAGACTATCTTTGTAAATCAACTGATACAAAACATGAGGAGTTAGATCAGCTTTGCCGGTGGCTGCCAGTAGGCTTATTTGCCCACTCTTCCCTCCAGTCCATTGAAAATACTTTATGGAAAGTAGGGAAGCCCTGCAGATGGGGTACATTGTGCTGTGGGAGAAGATGGGAATCTCAAAGATGGGGTGCTGGGCATTTGCTCAAGAAGAGTCCTTCCTCTTGTGGATGTCTGATTCCCTAACCACCCCACCAAGGTGACAGAAAATGCACCACACTCCAGTGGATTTAATTCTGTACTAACATATTGTAATCTATAAACAATCATGTGGCGGATTTACTTTCCACATGTAGTAAATTGTGGAAGTCTAATCCAAACACACAGTGAATAAAGTATTTTAGCCAGCATTCTTAAGTGTTATTCCGAAACCATGCAACAAACCATAATCACTTTTGATAGTCTCTATGGTATAGTGAATTATACATACCATGAGGCAAAGTTATTTCCTTCTATTTTGTGCAGAACAACAAAAAGAAAACAGTTTTCTAAGGGAGATTTCTCAATGCACATTTTTTCATGTATCAGGAAGGGAAACTATCAGCAGAGCTGACACAGCTGAAGCCTATAGGTATGTTTAGATATTTAAAAAACCACGGCACGTGCTGACTGCAAACCTAAGAATTACTAGCAAAACAACAGAAGAGTCACCACCGCTGGTTGGTGAGGCATGCAGCAATGCTAGATATGACTAACCCTCATCAAAACACAAAGTCTTTATTTTGGTTTCAGCAATGATATGGAATGGAGTATTTCCTTAGCTGTCAGGAGAGATAATTTTCTCTCTCTCTCCCCCCTGCGGTTGTCCTCCTACTGAATCAACAGAATAAGAATGACACTGAGTAATGGCCTGTACATTTTCTGCTGCCTAAACATTCTTAGTGCACGGTAGGTATTAAAAAGCATGTCTCTTTTCTCTTGTTTTACTGTTTTGATATGGAGTCTAATTCATATGCTTATTAATTATATACATGGAAGTGCTTTTCTTATGCTTAAAAATTATGTGCCTCTTCCCACATGATTTCAGCAGGGAGAAAGTCGTTGTGATGTGCCCCCTTCCCAAGTTGCTTCAGCAGCATCAGAAACCCGAATCCCTGTGGGAAGCCTCCATAATAGGAGTCTGCCTCACCCCAGCATCCCTGCAGAGGCACCCCACACTTGCGAAGTATCTTTCAAAGGGCAGAAAGATATTTTTACAATTATTTTGTCTCACTAAACGGAAATTCGGTTAACAGCTAGCCTGGGTTGGGATCAAACCACTAGGAAAAGAAAAAAGATAACTCTGAAACTTATATAATTTAGAACAGAGTTGCTAAGTTTCGATTAAAGTAGCATACAAAACAAAATCATATTAAACAAGTTTTTCATCTAAGAGAACAGGTTACAACTGGGAAGATTTATGGTCAGGAGGTCACTGAAGGCAGCACTATGGAAGTGGAAAATATTTCTATGCATATGCCAATTGGATGTCTGCAGAGGAATATTTTACAATGCAAAGCATGTCAAATGTGCATTTAAAATATGTGCTACAGGAGTCCTAGGAGTATGAGTGGGTGGGGAGACAAGTCTTTCTATCTGTCCAGCAAGGACTGAGCGGTGTTCCACTGGAATGGCTTGGGGAAAATTCTATCAGAGATACTCACCAAGCACAATGACCACAGTCTTCAGAAGACTCATCATGGTGTCTCGATTCCTACGTGGTCCAGAACTATGCCTAGACATTCTCATAGTCCTCTGGCGCACATACCCAAAGATATGAGCATATAAGACCACCATGACTACGAAGGTGACCAGGTTGAAAATTGCCCAGAAGACCAAGTAAGAGTCACTATAGAGTGGTGCCATGTTGGAACAATGACTGAGGTCACAGATACAATTCCAGCCCACGCTTGGTATAGCACCCATGACAATGGCCACAGTCCAGATGACAACGATGACCACCACCACTCTCCGATTGCTCATTCGTGTATGTAGCTGCATACGGAACACTGTGATGTGCCTCTCAATAGCGATGGCCAGCAAGTTGGCGACAGATGCGGTCAGACTAGTGTCAATAAGACCCTGACGAAGGAGCCAGGTGCTTACAGTCAGTCTTCTAGTGTTGGGTCCCGTGTTAAACATTAGGTAAAAATATGCCAGCCCTGCAAAGAAGTCAGCAGCAGCTAAATTAGCCATTAGGTAATAAATAGGAAAATGAAATCGTCGGTTGACATAGATAGCCACCATAACAAGGAGGTTGGCTAGCATGATGAAGACGCATACTGTAATCCCAAGGCCCATGACGAGTTTGCTCACAGTGTTCCATTCAGTGGCTAAATATTTCCCACTTCTGTTATAAAAGAAGGCAATGGTTTCGTTGTAGTAGCACTGAGGTTCACTCATGGCTGTGGACTGCAAGAGAAGGATACAAAGCAGAATTAGAAGTTAGAAATGTGAAAGTACTGCAGTGTAAGAAAGCACACACAATGTTTCTGGAAGAGTCAACCAAAAGCAAAAAACAAAAGACGGGGGAGATATGGATCTCGTGGACTATAATTACATCCTAAGATTGCATTAAAATTATGGTTATAAATACCCCTGGTAAATGACAATGCAGCTCTTCTGTGATGAACACATTGTGGAAGCCAAGTCTGACCAATTCAACCAAGAGACAGCAAATACATACCATTTGGCAATTTTGTAGTTACTGGCAAACATTTGAAAATTATCCTTTATCCTTCTTATGTAATATTAAGATGTTCTCATAACAAGAAACTGCCTGAACAGAGATTCTAGTAACTTTTCTGAGTTTAGGATTCACTTCAAATAAAGCCCCACTTAGCTCCTGGATAATCTGAGCTAGGGAAGAATTCCTAACTTCCCTCCCCACCAGTCTCCTATCCAATACTGAATCTGCCACCTTCTTTTTCCTTTAATTCACAGAGGTAGAAGTAGTGATGCTGCAGAGAGAGAGGAAAGGAGAGAGACTTGTCCTTTTTCACTTTCCTTTCTCTTGTCCCCAGAACAAAATATTCAATGGGCTTTGAGAGGTAACAGTTCTTTTCTTCATAAGGCTGTTAATCCACTGTATCTAGTTTCAGTTTTGTCACAGAACTGGAATCCCAAGAGAGCTTCCTTTCGCACTTTTCTTCTCTATAACCTCTAGCAAACACTGTGATAGATGTAATAGCACAAATACTCAAGTGGAAACAGAATTTTCTTTTACTTTCTTTAAATAATACTGAATTTTCCGTGCCCTAAAAAACGCTGTCAAAAGTGCTGTTCAGAATCAGAAGTGAAGCTGGAGGACTACAATGTTGATCTAAGAACCCATGAGCAACTCAACGTTGGAGATGATGAGTGCACAATAAATGATTTTATTTATTTATTTTATTTAAAACTTTTGTATGCCGTCCCTTATGCATGGCATCTCAGATGGCTTACAATCATTAAAACAACACAATAAAACAGTAATAAATAACAATTAATCAGAAAAAATACAATTAAATAAGTTAAGTAAAAGTGACTGTTAAACATTAAAATTTTAAATTAGTTTTTAAAATAACAATTAAATAAAAAGGTTTTAACTTGGTGCTGAAAAGAATATAAACTCATGTAAATTTGTGTAGAAAAGCTCATAGTTCTTTGCATGGCAGAAACCCTTGAGGAATATTTCCCCAGAGAATTTTTTCCTGCCCTATTCAAGGCTCTGGAAAATAGGGACAGATCTGCCTCATTTTGTTCCCTCATGTGTCACAGCTGCTGCTCCCATTGCCAGTGACCCAGTCAGTTACTCTTAAATGGAAGGATGGCTGGCCAGGGACCAAAAGTCAGATCATCTTGGAAAATACTGTTCCTTAAAAAATAGGTCATGTTGATGGAGGCTTGCCCCTTTTACAGTGAATGCAAAGCAATGAAATAAAGCATAGCACATACCTGTCTACAGACAGAATTTTTTAAGTTTAGGTAATTTCTACCATGTTGTCTGCAGTACGTTCACATAGATATGGTATATATCCACTTCAGTTTTACAACAAAATTGTGTTTGCTATTACTTTTGCTGAATCGCTTGGGTACTAAAAACTTTGGGTGCTTCCAGATGAAGGTTCTACAGTACAGCTCTGCTACCCCATTCACAGAATTTTAAGCAGCTCCAGTCATCAGCAACCCTCTTGTGTTTTCCTATCCGTTCCTTATTTCTACTTTCCATAAAATCCCATTCAAGAGGAATAGATATACAACGTCTTTTGATTAGCAGTGGTAGGAACCCTCTGTCCAGAAGAATCCCTAGATTTCCTCTATTCCAGTTTCTGTTGTAGTTTCTCCAGACAAACACTGAGAACTGTAGTTTGCTGAAAATGCTAAGCATTATCTGTTAGTGATCCCTAGCCTCCCTTACAGAATTACAATTCCAAGGATTCTCTAGGGAAAGAGAACAACTGCTGAACTAGTTTATGTCTGCAATGTAGTCATCCCCTCTGACACTTAGATATGCTACATATGTTCTTAATTATTTAGAGAAACTATGGTATGAAGGCTATCTCCTAAAAAAGTTATGAACGCATATGGATTTCAATGCTGACAAGTCTGAAAACGAGTAAGCAGAAAATGGAATCTTTGTCAAAATTAGCAATTATAGTAGGAACAGCCACGTAATTTTGCAACTCCTGTTGTTTGTTCATTCTGCACCATCAGCTGCAATTTCTTTTTTAGAAAGTCAATAGCTGAAAAGTCAACAGGTGGATTTAGGAATGTGCAATCCATCACTGCTCCTCTGTAATAGACAAGAGAAATCATTTGAAAGGCTCAAACTATCTATATTATAGCACACGACACTACCTATTTGTTTACAAAGTTAATTACCAGCAGCAGATTTTACCCTGGAACTTATTCCAAGCTGTTAATATCCTGATCATACAATGTAATCACTTGAACTTGCTATAAGTTGTTTTCCATGTGTTTTATTTATGGACACAGCAGGCCCAGCGTATTTTATTGCCAGAAGTCAAAGAGAAGGTAGTCCTCACATACATGCACCCCTTTCCACCTAATACCTTCTGACCTGGCAGGTGAATTATACTTTGACACAGGACACCAAGGCACCTGAGGACAATAACGCATCTTAGCAGCACACAGCTCTGCTTTTCAATACAGCACAATGGAGCTCCCTCTATACTACTCTGCATCTTCCACCTAAGGCTAATACTTTACTCAAATTAATGATTGGGCTGGCCCTGTTATAGACACTTAGCCAGACTTAAATGCTGGCTGCCAGCTAACTAAAAGTACAATTTTTAGATAAAGCTTTTATCCAGCCAAGGACGTATACCTCTAAGATTGCTTCTTCCCACTCCAACCAGAAGCTTCTTACTATCATTTCTCTGTTTGAATTATGCTACAGAAGTTTGGCACAGGAGCCAAACAAACATTTAATCTGACATAAAGTAAAGCACTGTTTTGCCTTCTTCTAGTATTGCCTCATGTTGTGGGCAGAAAGAAAATCCATTTTAATTTACTGATTTATCTGGGGGAGGTTTGTAAATTCATTAAGCACGTGCACGTGCACACACACAATAGGTCCTAAACTGCTGAACTCAGTAACTTCCTCGTCAGACTTACCTGTCCACAGGCATATTATACTAATACATGTAGCAAAGAATCTTAGTTTTGATGCATGAGACAGTATTTCTCATTAATGCCACAGACCACCTCATGACTTTGCAAAGGAATTTTAAAACAAATTACTTACCAATGTTATTGCAGTTATAAGTAATTGGTAGCTTGGATACATCACGACAATAGTAACACAGTGATCTGACTTTAAGATTTTATAACCATACTGCCCTATTACAAACCACTTCTATTTATTTTCCAGCAGAATCAAGTTGTGACAAAGCTGAGGACCCTTTCTGTGGCTTTAAAGGCCACTCTGGAAGAGTGTGATTATTAGCGGAGAAGTGGCAAGACACTCCTTGCTCATTCACCATTTTAACTCCCTTCCCACCCCCACAGCTTTTCATCTTACAGAGGTTAAAATGCATGCTTCTCTGTTTAAGCCTCCCTAGGCAAAACTGACTGGGAAGGAGAAGCTTGGAGTAGAGATGTGACAAGCAGACAGAAGCTTAAAGGTTTCCCCTACTCTTCTTCTCAAAGCCTTCTGAAATAGCTTTTGAAGAAAGGTTACCATCTGGCTGTAACAAGCAGCTTGGCCCCGAGATTAAATAATGATATACTAAGACTCTCAGACTAGAGGCCTAAACACAGACTACCCAAGAAAATATAAGATATAAAGCTGTATTTTGTATTCAGCAAACATCTTTCTTCTTTCAGCCATGTGATCTAGACAAGCTGGTCAAGAACTGGGAGTGACTATTTCTGTTAAAATGCAAGTTAAAATATGATCAAAGGAATGAACTCTACACAGAAGGTATTTTTAGATGCTGTCTTTTAAATATTCTGTTTATTTGCTTATAAAAGGCAAACAAGCCATAAACCTTTGAAGAAAATTCTGAGTTGAATACTTCTGTGTCATTTATTTGATGTAGGTCCCTTACAAAGATCTCAAAGTGGTTTACATAATTCTCCTCCTCCTGCTCTCTCAGTGTTATCCCCACAACAACAGCAACCCTGTGAGGTAGGTTGGTAACTGGCCCAAAGTCACCCCGTTGGCTCCATGGCTGAGTGTGGGCTAGAACCCAGGTCATCTGAGTCCCAGTCCTACATTCTTCACCACTACATCACACTGCCAGCTCCTTGTGTGTATTTTCATTTCAACAAGTTGAACAGTATCCATCCATATCTTCAATGACCAAAATAAAGACAACAAAAAATCCCACCATGCATTGGCTTCAGTTTGCACCTCAGTTGGAAACCTGAGTATATAACACACAGCAACTGTCAAGGAAAGTCATCTGAGCTGGACTGTATGTAAGGGAATGGAGGTGCTTAAAGTGTGTGCTACCAAAAAAGGATTTTTAGCAACTGGGAGGCTGTGGAAACAACTGTATGTCGGTAAGGTCAGAGTCCTCATTGGAAGCTATGATTACAGTCAGAGACCCTGTTGGAAGCTATGATTACAAACCTCCACAGACCGCCAGTAAAAAGACCAAAAAGGGTGTTGACCTTCCTTACTATTTATTCATTGTGAAATTACTACAAAGGGAAAACAAAATGAAAAATAGCTTTCAAGAAGGGGAAAAATAGAACATACACAGGGAAGTCATACTGTTCCTCACTTTCAAGTGGATTTATTTAAGAAAGGGCTCATGAATAGCCTAAATGCAAAGTGTAACTTTCCCAAAGGGCCATTTCCAGCCTTTTATCACTGCTGTTCATATAAATTACATAGCATACGCTTTCACTGGGGCTGGCGGTATGTAAAACTGAATCTACTGGCAGGATACAAAAATAGTGGTGGCTAACATCAATCTAACTCACACCATGTGCCCTCCAAAGGAATTTGGGTGAATTTAGGTGGACTGAGGACTCAAAAGTTCTCCACCAAACTTATCAGGCTTCCTCCTCCTTTTCCCCTCCTTCTCTGCTGCAGTACTGATGCCCCAAGGTCTGCAGTCCTTCCCTATTTGTTTTGCAAGGTACCCACAAGGAGCTTGACGGACCACTGGGGTCCCTGTGGATACTCCACGCCCTCCAGGCTGTCTCCCAGGGGAACTCTGTGGAGGGAGGAATAAAGCTCTGCTCTCTGACAACCCAGAACATGACCTGATGTTGGCTTGCCATAAGAACAGGGGAGGATGGTTGAACAGGCTGTTTGGATATTCATACCTCCTGTTCCAGAGAAAACATCCACTCTGTGCTGCCACCTTGAGCATGGGGCAGTGCTGCAGAGGGTATCGCAGGCTCCTGCCTCCTCCCTCAGAAATCTTTCCAGTAGCAGGTTGGGTGCCCGATGCAGTCTGTGTTTTTTCTCTGAACATGGGGCTGCCCCCCATGGAATGGAAGCCCTTCGGTGCCCTGACAGGTCTATTCTTAGGTCATTGACAAGGAGGACTGGGATCTGTGCCTCCTTGTCCCCTTTGCAAGGAATCATGGATCTTGGCCATCCTTGCTGGTAGCTTTGAAGTAGATCTCTCATGCTATTGGAAACCATGCTAGCTCCTCTCTGCTAAGGAAGCATGCATCCCCTTAGCAAAAGGAAGTGAGTCTCAGCCACCCTTGGCAGCAGTTTGAAAGGTACTAGCTTCACTGATTCACATCACTGGTGGTTGGGATGAATTTCTGACAACACCTTTCAAGACCCAGTTGGGTACTTCAGAGAGTGTTGAAGGCAGGGCTTGCCCAGTAGCCACTTCACAAGGGCAGCCAGGGATTTTTGATGCTCTTGCCAACCGGCTCCCTGGCCAACAGGACTCATTCACAGTGGCTTTCATTGTCTGGGTTCTGATGACACAACAACCCTAGAATCACCCACGGATGGTCAGGGTGTCTTGTCTGGAAAACAAGGCTGTGTTTGCTTGACATGACAACCTATCTGTGATAACAAAATGTTCAGGTTGTCTTGCCATCCTAGGCCATTTCATGTCTTGGATCATTAAACCTGGGATAGCCTTTTCATTTTGTTTCAAATTAGAATAAAATGTGATGTAGCACTGGGTTCAAACCTTGTAGGATCGATCACATTTTAATGTTGTGAAACTCAAAGTCTCCAGGTGACAATGAAACATGTTTACCTACTGATAAGGCCTTTTAAGTACTCTGTACTGTGATAAATTTGTATATTTTCTATTATTCTGTGAGCCTTTCAGGAAGCAGCAAAAGAGCCTCCATATTCTAGATAGAGTTAACTATAGTGCAGCAGTAAAAGCAATGTCGTGGGGTAGAGACTAATTCAAATTCTTTTACATGCACAATGATGTGTGTGTATATTGGGCAAGATAACCAAATTAATGTGGAATTATGAGAATTCATAATAGTGTCTGGTGTTTATGCATTTTTCGTTTAAAAGATTATGCACAAGCAAAATACTTGCATATTACTTATTAGATTTATAGACTGGTTTTTTCTTTAAAAAAAATCAGAGAGACTTGTATCACTCTCCTCTTCCCACTCTCAATCTTATCCCCACAACAAGAACCCTGGAGGTAGGTTGGGCTGAGAGTCTGTGACTGGCCCAACGTCACCCAGTTGGCTCCATGGCAGAGCAAGGACTAGAACCCAGAATGCCCAAGTCCCATGCTCTTAATCACTACACCATACTGGTTCACCCACATGTGCATATCTTTCTAGGTGTAAGTATATTTAGAGTTCTTTAATTTGCTGATAATTGTAGTCTGTAATACAATATTCATATTTATTAAGTTTAGATTTTTAAAACATAAATCAAAGGTAAGAAGCTCTTGCTGAAGTTCAAAGGAGCACAGTTTTAAGGTGAAAAGATCACCTCTCCTGCCTGGGTGTTTTTTAAAGTAGTCATTCATTTTCAGTTATGACCTGCCTTACAAGAATGACCATTCCTTATTTGAGAGTCTTAAAATGGACAGCTAATTGCTACAATTCTCAAAGTCAGCTCTCTCTGTTTCAGAAAAGTGCGAATGGATATTTGATACTGACTGGTTTTAACACGCTGTTTTTTTTTTTTTTTTGCTGAAGATGAAACACAGTAAATCTTGGACAATAATTAGTAGTCATCTGGTGAAACTCGTGGAGTGGTACAACCAGTAAGCAAAATATTGATTCAGAACCCCACTCTATAATTTAAGGCATTTTCCTCTGAACTAGGGATAGCATTGTTTTTGGGATCAGAGCACTCAATATGTATCTCACCTTCTCTTCACCCCCAAAAGTAAAATCCTGGCAGTACAAACATAGCAAACATTAGCAACAGCAAACACAGACAACATTAATCTAAGCTCTTCACTGCTTTGACAGAACTTTCCAGGAAAAAAATGTAAACAGAATGCACAACTAAGTAAACAGAATACTGAAGCTTTGGAAACAATAGCCTCTCTATCAGTGTCTCATTAAGGTCAGGGAAGGCAAGCCTAGAAAAACCAACTCAATTCTCTGTTGCAGTGTGGCACATCATATATATCCTGATCACTCATTATTCTGTGGGTTGTCATGAACAATGGCAACAAATGCTTGGAACGCTACAAAGTTTTGCTTTCGAAGGCCTCTGCTTATTTATTTGCTTTTGAGGATTTTTAATCTTATTGCAAATGGCTACAACTCACTTCCAGGTAACTAAGTAAGTTAATGATTTGGCAGTGGAAGTAACAAACAGAGTCTGTGTTTATTCTGATAACTTTTTTAACAGGAATACCAAAGCAGAAAACCATGCAGTCAGCAGACCACTTCTTAAGATAGCCTATCCCACAGAAGCTGCTTGTAGCCGTCTACAAACTGCTTTTTTCCACAGGGTCTAGCCTTCAAGCTTTCTTTGTGGATCACCGTGTATTATGCCATTTATGCCTGTGCTGTGCCAAGTTCGCACCAATATTTGGTAATGACATGAAGACAAGCCAGGCACTGGGGCCAATCCAAATGATGAAATAGCACACAATGAATCCGCCACCACATTGAGGGATGATTTCAAATCAACTCATCTGGTGACCATATTGTGACAAACACTCCGTGCTGAGCAGGCAGTTGTACCCAATGGCTTGCTAGGCTCCTTCCAACTATATGATTCTATGAAAGCAGAAATGAGTAAACTGGAAGATGGAGAAATCTAGTTTATAAGGTATATTGATATTACCATTTAACCAAGTCACGATGCTGTATTTTCCATTTTGATTAGTTGCTTAATGAATTTTGAGAAATTCTATATCCTGATCTAGCACTATCACCTTTAAGAAAAGTAATATTTACTATATTGTACCTAGTAAAAAACAAAATGAAAAGAAGTTATGTGGCTAACAGAATTCAATAACAAGAATTTATCACTTTATAGCATATCAATTGTACCCTTAACAAATGTTGAATTGCAAATCCCATCAGACCTAACCAGCAAAGCCAAGAGACAGGGATGATGGGAGTTATCCAACATAACAATCCAACATAATCTGGTTGCTCATCCCTGATTTACCAACGTAACTTTAGAGTCCCCTGTTGTTGTTGTTGTTCAGTTGCAAAGTCATGCCCAACTCTTTGTGATTCCATGGACAACATTCTTCCAGGTTGTCCTGTCCTCCACCATCCCTCAAAGTACACCCAAGCCCACACCCACCTCTCCAATGACCCCATCCAGCCACCTCAACCTCTGTTGTCCCCTTCTTCTTTTGCCTTCAATCATTCCGAGCATCAGGGTCTTTTCCAATGGACCTCATTAGGTGGCCAAAGTAGTTGAGCTTCAGCTTTAGTATCTGACTTTCTAAAGCACAGTCTGGGTTGATTTCCTTTAGGATTGACTGATTTGATCTTTTTCCAGTCCATGGAACTCTCAGGAGTCTTCTCCAACACCACAATTTAAAAGCACTTACGGTCCAACTCTCACAGCCATACATTACAACTGGGAAAACCATAGCTTTGACTATATGAACTTTTGTTGGCAGGGTGATGTCTCTGCTTTTTAGTATGTTGCCTAGATTTGCCATAGCATTCCTCCCAAGGAACAAGCGTCTTTTAATTTCTTGGCTGCAGTCACCCTCTGCAGTGATCTTGGAGCTCAAGAAAATAAAATCTGTCACTAGTGTCGCCTGAGGAAGCCTAAATGTAGCACAAAACAAAAAACCATTCTCTTTATCTTATCTAGGATCATTTGGTAATTTCCCCTTTACAAGTCATAAATTACTTGCCAAACCAGCTTAACTCCTGTCTGGTCAGGTGGTCAAAAATGTTTTACATCTGTTCTTGTGAAACAGGGCATGGTTCATATAGAACCACTTGTTCTGTATATTATTTGCCTGATATTAGCTGAAGAGACTTGGTAATTTTTCAAAAATATGTCCAACTCTAAAAACTACACTTGAAACTACACCTGACCACACCTGCACTGCAAACAGATAGACGTCATGGCTCAAAAAAGATTAAAAGACTAGCAATTTGTGGAACATGTCCCATTGACCTGGAGACCTCAGAACATATGCTTCATAGATATGCAGACATATAAGATTATATTAAATTCCACTAGTAAACTTAGAATTATTTCTACTTACCTCAATAAGCTGCGGTTGTGTCATCACTGAAAAGGGTACTTCAGCTGAGGGGTCTGCCATGGTTTGGAAAAGAGGGACGGTTAGATTATTTCTAACTTCCAGGAAATGATAAACAGATAAAGTCTTGAACTTCTTGGTTAATTCTCAGTCATGCTGGATTATGGGCCTAGAAGGAAAGAACATTCTTTAGAAACCTAGAAAAATCAAAAGCAATTCCTAAATGACTCTGTATTTCTAGTAAGTCTGTATTTCCAGTAAATGTTACTTAACAGATGCCATCTGTATGGACAACCATTTACCAAAAATGAAAATGAAAGTTACTGGCTCAAGTACATTTTTAAACACAACATATAAACACCTGGCATTAAAAAATAAATTCTATATCCAACAGCCGTTTTCATCTTCTGTAGTCACACACTCCTGCACACATTTAAATATTATATCACAAGTTACATAGTAAGCTAGTATTTCAAAAATGCTTGTGTTTTATAAAAATGGGAGTCAGAGTACCAAGGTAGCATGAGGATCCAAATTATTCCTTTGGAAACAGATGAACAAATTCAGTTCCTAGTACAAAGTTATTCATGATCAAGCAATGCTGGTTCATTACCTTTCCAGCTAGAACATTTATAGCCAATGAAGAAATAGCTGGCATTTGTCCAGATAATGCTGATAGTCCAAATTTGTATTTTCAAGATTTTTTCAAAAATACCTTTCATTCACAACTAGCATTATTCATGATGCCAAGTGAGAGCAGAGCAAAGCCATGGTAGAAATTCCTTCTCCCTCCCTGTAAACACAGTTGCTAAAACATTTTCTTCAGTGTCCTACACACCTTTCAGGACTCCTTCAATTGTTTATTGCTCATTATTTCAAACATTTCAGTCAGGTTGGTTTTTATTTTTTGTACTGGGACATGAAGAGAAAAGATACATATGTTCTACCAACCCTTCCAAACATGTTTTCAGGGGGAAAGATCCCAAACATAATAGCATATTCTGAAGTGATGAAATTCTATTCCAATTCCAATATTAGATCCCACCTTCCTCCCGTTCTCTCTGTACCACTGCCTCCTCTTATCCTACGAAAGCTGCAGGATTATATTAAGTCTTTATCCAAGGGCTCTCACACATCCACTTTGTAGAACTGCTTGTTTCTTTCTTAGTTTATCTTTACCAATATGTTTCAGATTATGATCTGTCCAGTTCATACACCTCATGAAATAACCCAGGTTCACTTATGACCTAGCAATCCAAATTTCCGGCTGCCTTACAGGAACTCCATCATCCTGTTTTTCTGCTTACTGGACAGCAAAACTAGAGGATATGTGAAGCACTTGGTCAGCCATAAGTCCTGCTCAGGTGGACTATGTTTGTAACAGGCTTGAAATAGTACATGCTCCACAAAAACAGCAGAAAAACAAGTTTCCTTGCCTATAAGCTGCCATGACTCTTACAAGGTGATGAGGTTCTACTTTAGAATTCAGAGATGTTCCTTTAAGGGTTTCTTATGAAATTGTAAATCATCCTCTCTATTGGGGGTTTTACTCCTTTGTGCCACCATTCATCATATTATTTTTCATTTTGATTCCTTGTGGAGATGTAAACAGAACTGTGTTCACTTCAGTTTTCAGAAGAACTGTAGCAAAACACAGAGTACTAATGGTTCATAATACTTTATTATTTACTGACATATCAAGTTTATCATAACCAAGCTGTATGGTGCAAAAGTTTAAGATCTATGGCTTGTATCTAGACCTGGGCATGGGCCATGAGGTTGAAGATAGCAAACTTCTCTACCATCTCCACCACATGACTGCCCTTCCAACCTCCAAAAACGTTACATGAAAAGTCAAGGGACACTGCTGAATAGGGTGGGCTCTGTGTGGATTTGGTCCACTTCTTCCAAAATACAGCATTCCAAAGTTGTTCCCTCAGAATCCAAATTGGAAAAAGAGGCTGGGAGGAACTTCTTTGCTGATATGCCAAAGCCAGCTTGCCCTGAGATAAGACAAGAAGCCTGTGAGAATGGGACCCTGTCTGCCTCTGAGGAAAAACCCTGTTCAACAGGCAGAATCAAGAGGAAGGTTGATGTAACTTCATCAGTCCTAGAATTTGGCATCAGATCAAATGAGCAGACCAACTGAACAGCATTTGTCATTACATTATTGCTGTTTGGCTCAAAAGCAATAGAACCTCCCTGAGGATGGAGCTAATTCTGTTTAGTTGGGAAGGGAGAACAGCGATTCACTTTGGAATCAACTTTTGTTATGAGTTGTAATCTCCCTAATTGTCCTAGCTTGAGAGATGCCTTTTGCTAATGACCTCAGCAAAACTCCTTTGGTATCACAAAGCCAACCTGGCTGTCTTACTTTAACTTAATAAAGGCTATAGTTTGAAGCTTCTTGTCATGATTGGCTTGGAAGGAAAAATGCGGGGGGGGGGGGGCTGGCTTCTGACAGTCTGTTGGTTGGGGGTGCTAGAAGGGGAATTCTCCAAATTTGAGCTGAGGCAGTTTCTGTGAGCTCCACTTTTGGAGATACAATCTTCCCCTAAGACTCTCACACTGGAGCTCACCACATTCATTCTTCTAATTCTATCTATATTACTCTGAGAATGTTTAAACAAGAAACAATTTAAAAGAAAAGCTACAATGCTGCTTTCAAGGGGCACAGAACTATGATCAGCTCTGTGATACACTGAATTATTCCTATATAATGACCAAGGGTGAATTCAAGGGGGCTTTTCTATAAATTGTGTGTCCTGCCAATTCCATTCACAAGCAGGATCCACTGCTTATGTAAAGGAAACTTAGCATTTCCCGGTGGGGGGGAGGCACTAAAATAAGCAGAAATGTTCCTTTCTGGAAGGAGGCATGTTAGCACAGCCTCCTTGTATAAGCTCCACTGACCTTCCACTTTCCAAAAATGAATGTTTCCACTCATTTTAGGTTGCCTTTAGAAGCACTAATTCACTGTTGCTTTTGTGGTGGGAGCTACTTAAGTGGGCCAGCTGGAGAGATGGAAGAGAACCAGTGAGGATATAAGTACCCCATCAATTTCTGCCACATGATTCTACAAATCCAGTTGTGGAATTACCAACAGCCATGCTTGTTCCTTGCTCAATCTCAACAAAATAACTGATTTCTCCCTTACATTCTTCACTATGCATTACAGAAAAGTCGAGGGCGCACCTCTCACTTTTTTCTACGTAGGAGAGAGAGATCCCATCACTCCATCAGGACAGATCCCACCAGGGGGCTAGAGATCAGTGTGGCACATTCCAAACTTTGCATGCAGAAGGCCTTGAGTTCACTCCCTAGCACCTCCAGACAGGGCTAGGAGAGAATGCTGACTTGAAACCCTTGGAGCTGGTGCCAGTCAGTGGGAATTGGGCAAGACAGGCTTAGCATGTCAGCAGCTTCCTATATTCCTAAGTGACATGCACAGAGGATTGCATGGGGGAAGGGCTCAGACTCTTACACTGCCACAAGTTCTCTCGATCATTTGGAGAGCCTTCAAAACACAGTGCAAAGTAACGGGATGATTTGCTGCAATCTATGCTTTGAAAGTGCTTAAAAGCAACTTCAGAATGAGGGAACGGACCTACTTCCTTCAAGCCAATTGCACAAGCTAGAAGTCTCTCGAGGGCTGGCTACAAATGAAAACTGGCTACTAGCCAAAAATCTATAGACCCCTGATAATGGCTAATAGAGTTTGCATCTTTGTAGCAAAGAACTTCAGAAATATTCCGCTTAAATTTCATAGAGGCGGTGTGTGTGTACCTAACTATATAATCTATTCTAGCCAGTAATCCCTTTTTATTAGTGTGCCAAAGCAAATAACAACTTTCCTTACACTAAAGACTTCTTGTTCCGCATATAATTTATTCATAAATGTTCAGATTCTTTGTCTAGGATCCAAAAAGCTGTTTCAGGCATGCCGAGAGTTTTGAACATCCATTAGGAGTTTTGACTCTAATGCTCCAGAGTCTGATTTCCCTCTCTTGCGTGAGGCAAACATGAATGCACACAAGCAGCCCTTTAAAAAGTGTCTCTGTCCTATCCTACAGTGTTGCTACTTCATTTAATTAATCTTTTTTGCACCCAAAGATAGTTTTAATTTATTTCTTTAAAGGCTATGCATTTTCTTGCTCTAAGGTTAAATCACTCATCTCCTTTTCAAAATGCAAAGCATCAAAAACAATACTACAGTTTTTCCTAATCTGATGCTCTCCAGAAATGTTGCACTTCCCAGCATTTTGGATCATTGGTCATGTTAGGTGTTGTGGATAAGACCTGAAGTCCAAACATCTGAAGGGCATCAGGCTGCGGAAGAAAGAACGCACCAATGTCCTCCCATCCCATCTTAAATTTACCAAAACTACCGCAGAAATACAAAAAAGCATTAAATGAAGAAGTAACAATGACAGAAGTTCGCGACATACAGGTATGTGAGGGGATGTCACATGGAGATGGGTAGAGACCTGTTCTCCCCTGCAGAGGAAGGCAGGACAATGGAGCAAAGCTCAGGGAGCCAAGGTTCCATTTGGATGCCAGGAAGCACTTCCCGGCAGTCAGGACCCCGAGGGTGTGGAATGGGCTTCCACGGGAGGTTGTTGAGGCCCCATCGGTGAGGGTGTTCAAGGATAGGCTGGACGTCCACATGGTGGGCATGTCATGAGCGGAGCCGGCTGGTGCCGGAGGTCAGACTAGATGGCCTGCAAGACCCCTTCTGACTTGCTCTGTTTCTATGTTTCTATGTTTCTAAGTAATTCAGGCAATTAAAAGACAAAAGAATGACAAAACTCCAGGCCCGGACGGGCTACCAGCAGAGTTCTATAAAACTTTTGAAGGAATCTTGTCTACGCCTCTTAAGTATATATGTAACACAGTACTGTTAGATGCTAAAATACCAAATACTTGGACAGAGGCAAATATTACACTAATACCGAAAGAAGACATGAACTTGATGCACATTCAGAATTATAGACCTATATCATTACTAAATGTGAATTACAAAATTTTTGCCTCCATAATGGCAGAAAGACTAAAGAAGTATTTAACACACTTTATACACCCAGATCAAAAAAATTTTTACCTAAAAGACAAATGAGGAATAATATAAGAACTATTTTGGATATCTTAGAGTACTATGAGACACATTCT